AAAAAAAAAAAAAAAAAAAAAAAAAAAAAAACCCGGCACACAAAAATTTCGGAAAGAATAACGAAAGTAAGAATGAAAAAACTAAAGACAGAAAGAACAGAGGAAAATAAAGAAGGAAAGGAAAGAAACATTAAACAAACTTAAACTTGATAAACGGAAGTCTACCATGCACCGTTCAAACTTGACATTTTGCGAGCGACATGAATATTTAGTCAAAAGCAATTTATATTTAGCCAGTATTAAAAAACTCTTTTCATTAAAGGCTGATATTACAAATTTATCATAAAATGTGAAATTAAGTACGAATAAGGTGTTATAGGTACTTAAACACTGTTTTTAAGGTTTTGATTGGATGAGTTGCACAAAGACGGGGATCCAATTTATAGTTACGAAAAACGAAAAAAACGGGTATAAATAAGTAAGATGCATATTGCCATGAAGATTTTTTTTTTGGAAGCCATTTCAATGTTACAGTCTACCATGACGTGTACATGCTGTAAGTAATGGAAGCCAGTTTAATGGAAAGTCATTTCAATGTTATGGTGATGTAAGTAAGTAAGTAGTTAAGTACTATACGTTTCCCACTCATACTATAATATTCTTTTGAGAAGCTATTTCGACGTCTAGACATGTACAGTGTTTTCTATAATCATGTGTCAAAGCTGTTCTTTTTCTTCGAATACGCGATAAATATTCTTATGGGAAGCCATTCTATAGTAAATGTAACGATATACAGTACCGTGTACGTGCTCAAGTCAGTACCGTACGTTTTCTACTCGAACCATAAGTGACCATTTTTTTGGGAAGCCATTTAGGTAGTACGACATGTATAATATAATTGTGTGTCAGAAGTGTGATCGTTTCTCATTCATACGTTATAACTTTTCTTATGAGAAGTCATTTTTTAAAAAATGTCACGGTATGCCGTACCGTGGACGTTCTATAAGTAAATATCGTTTCCGTCTTGTGGTCATACGGCAACAGTTCCTATGGGAAGCCATTTCAATGTCACGGCATGGCGTACTGTGTATGTACTGTATGTGTCAATACTACATGTTTCTCACTCATACAATAAGACCATTCTTATAGAGCGTTTTCACGTGACGTCACAGCGGCATTATGGGGTACCAAAACAATACATTTTCTATCCTCCGGGGATTGAGCCCTATTTTTACGCAAATACTGTGCAGAAAGTTTCTATTGTTTATGGCTGCCTTCTCACGTGAGTGAAAACGCTCTATAGAGGCCATTTCAATGTAACGTTATATCGTACCGTGTACGCCTTGTATATGAAAAAAATACTTTTTCACTCGTGCGGCATTCTTTTTTAAAGCCATTTAAATGTCAAACCATGTGCATTCATGCTGAAACAGCAAGCAGCACGTTTTTTGTCCACATACTCCCCTTCCTCGAGCACCGAACTTTCCATAAATAAAATTCTGTTTAATCAAAAAAAAAAACAAAAACAAAAACAAAAACAAAAACAAAAACAAAAAACGCCTCATTATTGTTCCGAACGCATTCAAATGCATGATGTCGACATCAATTCAGTCTAGCCCAGGTTTTCATTTCTTCCATGCTCTCTGGCTTCCATTTCAAATTAAAATTAAAACTTCCATTACTGTCTTGTTACGATAAAGTCTTTTTTTTTACCTTAGAAAACCCAAAACGAAGTTCAATTATTCAAGTATTCCTTTTTCGTGAGGCTCATTTGATTAAACCTTCAATTAGCCGTGCGCGTATTTGTACCATTATAGCTTTATTTTCCATATTTTTTCAATAAAATCCATCCTGACTTATGCACACACACCTGCAGTTATACACTTTGTTTTTAAATCCTATAGCTAAATTGGCAGCAACCTTACACCAACTTAGAATAAGACATGATATTTCTACCATATTATTAACAAGAGCGTAGGAGTCGGTAGACTTAGTACTTTTGCACAAGTTGATATAATAAGTCCTGCGAGCTCATTGGTTATAATTTACGTCTGATGCTGCTTTAGTAAAAAAACACAGGTGATTATTTATTGAAAATCTCGCGCGCTGATTGGTCGAGAAACTCACACTTTCACATGATAGTCACCTCCAGCGATAATCCTAAATGGCGGACAGCCGCTTTGTTGCTGTTACCGGGAAAAAATGTCTTTTATCTTCTTTTTTTCCTTTTTATTATTATTATTATTATTTGAAAGAATCACCTGTGTATTTATACTAAGACAATAATTTGCCTCAGCCTCAGTGAATATCGGAGAATACTCGCGTCTCGGTAAATATTCCCCGATATTCACTTCGCCTTCGGCGCATGATTGTTAGATATTCACCTGCAGGTAAATATAGTGCGCACACGCACGCTTGTTTGTTTAATTTTTGCAGCTTGCTGAGATGAATAGAATTTGAAAAAGAACTCTCTCTCTATCCATTATTTATTATTTTCACTTGTTAATAATACTAAAACAGGCTCAGTGAATATCGGGGAATATTAACTTCGTCGCTCGAAGACTCGTGTCTCGGTAAATATTCCCCGATATTCTTCTCGCCTTCTGCAAAATTTAATTTGTTATTTTGTCTTAGTTTGAGTTCCGTTATGAAAAAACCCGAGGTGTTTGCCGCCGTCTCTGTCATATTCAGGGAATATAGATGAGGGTTCTCGATTTTCAGTTAACTATTAGTTTTTAGGTCAATTGTCAGTAAACTGTTAATGATTTTACGAGCGGTGACCATAAAAATAGCCAAAATAATGAAATATCAGTAAACTGTTGACTACTAATTTTTAGGCCAATAGGTTGCTATCAATACACGTCACTTCCGGTAATAGCTCGTTTTTAATGAATCATGGAGGTTATTTTGATTTCTTGTTTACTGGTTTGATGTCGTGAAAATAGTCAAATACAATAGTTTGAGGACTTATTTTGAACGCTTGTTTGCCCCCAGTTAACTCCAAAAAAGTCACGTGATTGATAGTAAACAATAGAATAAGCGTGGGGTCACGAAAAATCAATCTTGGCTTTAACAATTTTCGATCTCAATTTCGATAAATAATCACAAAAGACGTTTTCTCGCCAAATTTGACGAGAATCTGTAAATTTAAGCTGAGGTAAGGTCATTTAAATACAATATAATTTCCCCATACCAATCACTCTATTTTCGGCTCCGTTCGAAGCGCTTTGAAAATAATATTATACATTTTAGGCTTGAAAAACAACATGCAACATGCAACACGCAACATGCAACATGCAACATGTAACGTGCAACGTGCAACATGTAAAGTGCAACGTGCAACATGCAACATGTAACGTGCAACATGTAACGTGCAACATGTAACGTGCAACATGTAACGTGCAACATGTAACGTGCAACATGCAACATGTAACGTGCAACGTGCAACGTGCAACTTGTAAAGTGCAACATGCAACGTGNAAAATAATATTATACATTTTAGGCTTGAAAAACAACATGCAACATGCAACACGCAACATGCAACATGCAACATGTAACGTGCAACGTGCAACATGCAACGTGCAACATGCAACGTGCAACATGTAACGTGCAACATGCAACGTGCAGCATACAACATGCAACGCCCAACGTGCAACATTCAACCTTTTTTGAAATAGCTTTATTGAATACAATAAATTTGTAGGGTGAAAATGATTAATTCTTTGACAGACATCTATTATTGTAGCATTCTTTATTAAAAACTCAAGAATAATTCACTAGCGTTTGATCCAATTGGAGCGGCCACACACTCACGTGCATGTATTGTTGTCGTTGTCGTTGTCGTGGTGAGTGGTGCTGCTTCTGTTTTGTTGCTGTTGCTGTTGTTGCTGTCGTTGTTTTTTGTTTTTGCTGAAACCCCACAACTATTGTCTGGGTTATTAAGGAATTACTTTAAAAAAACGAAAGAAAGAAAAAAAGAAAGTTTTAATTTTTTAAAGAATTTTAAATTTTCAAATGTTTGAATGTTTAAATTGAAAAAAAAAAAAGTTTTTTCTGTCTGTTCCCCAACTTTAGAAATTCTCCATTTTATTCATTTTATTTTGAGAGACAAGACAAATAAAGGCGGGCAGACGAAACTTTCAAAAGTCGCCTACCTAGTGTTTGCCTAGTCGCCTACTAGTGTTTGCAGATGTTCCACATGAAGTTTTATTATTTTGATCTTACTTTATAATTCTATTCGTTTGGGTTCAAAAAATGCTAGGAGTAATGTGAAGAAGGAAAAGGTATGTTAGATATACGAAGGAAAAAATAATAAAAAAAGTTAATGTTAAAAGACGTAAATTCATGATCTTTATATTATCATTTTCGAAAAATAGTTTTATAAAAACGCTGCCCTTTTAGTTTTATTTATTCATCTTCATTTTGGGAATGTGTAGGTAAAGGGTTTGTGCCCGAAAAAGTTTAAAAAAAAGAGATACGTAATTGAAAATAAAGCAATCTAGCTTTGAGGTATACGAACAAAGGCAATTTTTAGAAATATGTGTATGTGTAAATATAGTTCACCATAAAGTATAGATTATGCAGGATCTTAGGAAGACGACTGTAATCTAACTCCACTTCAGCGAACACCTGCAATATGACAGCAATTGTCATTGAAAGATAAACTATGCAACTAGCTTTATTTTCCTAGAAGGACAGCTACGAACTTGTACAAAGTGTCTATATAGCAGGTAGGCGATGGGGATTTGAAACTAGAAAAAGGTAAAAATCATTGTAGAACCAGAAAAATACCAAAGAGAATCGTATTTTTTTAGAAGGAGGGACAAAAATATCGTACACTTTTACGCAAAAGGAAACGACAAGGAAGTAAGCATTTGTTCGTATATGTGTGCCAAAAAATTTAGATTTTTTTCAATGAGACGTGCACATATTTAATGATCTAAAGCTAAAGAATGAATAGGCTATGCTCGATGAAATTTATACGTGATTGCCTTGCTCAATAACCGTATGGTACTTTATTTATGATACAAACATGTAAATCACCAAATAATAAGACATTTTTGCAAATTTTTCGGCAATGATAAGAAATTTTTGGTAGAAATGCTAAAGTTAGTTCACTACTCAACAATTTCATAATCGAATCTACAGTACCATATCTATGTATTAGAATTTTTTATATGCTATATAATTATCAATATTTCAAACTATTAGTTCGAATTTCCTTTAAGAAAAAATGACAAGAGATGACCAGGAAACAGGTGTAAGGTTTTCTGCTTTCCTATCTCTGGTTTGGCAAAAACGTTTTTATAGTTTACTGAGATACAAAATATATTTGCAAATGATTAATTTCACGCAGTTGGCTTGAAATTTAGCGATAGCCAGTAGAGGTTCTTTGCTTCTGCCTATGTCTGGTTTAGCAAAGTAGATTTTATAGCTATAATACAAACTGTAATTCGTAAATCAGTCTTTTTAGCACAAATTGTTAATAATGGTAATTGAACTGAGTGGAGTGCAATTTGGTCTGAAATCAAACGCGCGATTTGTAATTGCAAGTTTGATTTCAGACCAAAATTGCACGACACGAAGTTCAATTACCACTTTATTATATCCACTTTGAAATCTTTTTTGAAAAAGACGTTTTTTCCAGTTAAACCGATATGACTTACAATCTACAAGCAGTCGATTCAAACATGCTGTCA